AATATCCAGGAGTTTCTTAATTTTCATAGTTTCTTGGGGTGAGAAAAGCACTGAAGACATGTTCCAAGCAACGAATTGTGTAAGAATTGGAAGAAGATGGGCATCATTTCATCATCTGCCCAGGCACTCCTGAGAGAACTCAAGGATAGCTGAATTCCAGCAGTTATCACTCTGGTCACTAAAGTGTGTATTTCCAAAAGACACAAAAGCTTACTCCTCAAGAAATTCTCCAGATTAGCCCAGATCTAACTCTTGATGCTATCAAGCACCAGACCCAGGCAACTGGGTGCAGACGCAGCTGTCTTTGGGCCTTCTGCAAATATCCTAGGCAGTTTCATCACCATCACCTATTAGTCAGGAAAAGGATAAAGGGGTTAAGCAAGGATGTAAGCCCACCAAGTCAGTGTCACAGGTGTAGTTCTTTCTGTAATGCAGAGCTTCAGGGCCCAAGCCTGTAAGGAGACTTAACTACAGCAAGAGATCCAAGCATTGCTGAGCGGTGAGCTGAAGAGAGATGCTGGAAGCAGGATGAGTGACAGATGACGGGGGCACACAGGAGCCCAACTTCAACAGGTGTGGCCCAAATCTGGCATGCTGGGAGAGAGCAGCTCATGGAGCAAACGGACGGAAGAGCAATCACTGGGAAGGAGAAGGTGACCCTGGCAGTGGCGCTGGCATGCTAAGAGGTGGAGAGGCACTGTGGTACACAGCGGCAGGCCCTGCGAACTGTGGCGACAGCCACAAAGCAAAGGACAGTCTTCAAATGGATACCAGGTGGAAAGGACCTCTACTAAGGCTTGTTGGCTTTAGGTGTGCCACTCAAAGAACTGCTGTTGGAACTGTCAGGTGATAATGAAAGGTTAAAGTCACAACTCAGTGGAAAGAACTGTGTTCAAATGGAAGTGCCTCTCAGGAATTTGGCCTACAAATTTAAATTCTCAAAATACAAGTTAGATGTTATAGGAAAAATTTTACTTTTTTGGGTGTATAATGGGCTGTTACTACCACAGGTTATGAATGCAGCATCCAGAACAATATTTCATTTTTACTAATGTGACAGAATTAGAGAGTTGCATTAAAGGTCAACACTAAGAACTCAACATATCCAATGCCTTTGGAGAAAAGAGAATAATAAAATCTAGAGCTTTTTAAAAAATATGGTTTATAAAACAAGCCAAGTTGTTCAAGATGGCTGTAAGCTCAAAAAGGAAAATGCTATAATTCAATACTAAAATTTTTAAGAAAAAGGAAATAGAAATTTAGATAAAAATGCATTTTTCTTTTTTAAATGTATTTGGTACAGGGTCTCACTATGCATAGCTTGGACTTGTGGTGATCCTCCTGTTCCCCAGTGCTGGGATTACAGGCATGCACCATCATGCCTGGTCTCAGTAGCTGGTTCTGTGCGCCCGGGAGCAGGGCCAATGTGGCATGTGATGCCAGGGATCAAACCCTGTTCTCTTTCCTAAACAGGCGTTTAGTCCACTGAGCTATCTTACCAGCCCTAATGCATTTATTTTGAGTCACACTTTGTTACTAAGTTTTCTTGAATTAAATAAGAAAAATGGATCTAAATTATAGCAAAAATGATCAATAGAAAACTTACATAAGAATGCTTCCACTCAGTCTTTGAACTACCTTGAATATGACACAAATAACAATAGGTAGAGCTCAGGTAAACAGGAAGCATTCAATGTTGAATGGATGAAGAACCTGAAAGCCTCAATAGCATTCAGAAGTAACACAAACTGGAGCCAGACAGAACCCCAATCAATTTTGAATGCAAAGTAAGAAGCAGTGTAAAGGAAAATGAGGTCTTTCCACATTGTGGCTTTCTACAGTGTCCCAGGATCTCCTGACTGTGAAGCACCCTAAATGAAGTTCTTACTTCACTTCCTTTTTCTTGAAGAAGAGGAAGGTTGTGTCTGTTCCTTCCCTGAAGAGGCCGGGAGGAGAAACTGTACTGTTGGTCTACCTCATCCGTTCCTCTGACTAGGTCACTGTGTGTTAATTCTCATACACTACCCCGACCCCCATGGTGAGAACACAGAAGTTGTCACTGCCAGACAGTTGTTGGTGACTGAGCATTGGTATGGGGAGCTTGTGATGTGGTATTCATGTGCCACCATGAGACAAGGTTCTAGATGATAGCATTAGACTCCCCTCCTCAAAAGACAGCAGCAGGTACAGGCAGGGCTATTACAGCCCATGAGGGTACAACTGAAACATGCCTAAAAGAGCTATCTAAAATCTCTTGGTGTTTCACTGCAATAACAAGGCTGTATCCCAAAACAAGTCAGACAGTGTACATGTGGAAGAAAGATTTAATTTTGTGGATATGACATAGCATTGTACAGAGGAAGCTGGATTATATGACTTTCAATCTTTGTGAGCTCTTAGGTGGTCGATATGAAGGTAAATTTGTGTTCTAACAGACCTGGACAATAATAAGCACATTTTATAATAAGTAGCCCAGAGCTGTGTAGCAAATTCTGAGGCAAAGGAAAGAGACCAATACCTTTTAAATGCAGAACTATTTTAAGGTCTTTTTGAGGACCACGGGCTGATAGAGAGGCCCCTGCATAAGCTACACAATAAACACAGTAGAAACACTCATCATCATTTCATGTACCATCTGCCTGACAGAATGATGGGTTTTCAAAGCATTTTCTAGTATTAAAAACTTCTGACATCAGTCAATATTAGCTACCAAACCCTGCAACATGAGCCTATTTATAGACTGCAAAATGAAGCTAAAGGTGCATCTACGATTCTATGGTCATATCCATGCTAGTAAAATTAAGCAGGAATTTAATTTACTTATTAGGTTTAGATTTTTATTTTGTTTTTTGTTTCTTGGTTTTTTTTTTTTTTTTGTGGAACCGGGGATTGAACTCAGGCCCTTGCACTTGCCAGGGAAGCGCTTATTCCCCTGAGCCATCTCCCCGACCCCTACTTATTAGGTTTAGATAAATAAGCCAAAGTACCTTGGGCTCCATTTATCATCTGGGCATTTCTTTTGTTCTCATCATTATGCTTAATTTCCCCAATACTTAGTGTATGTACACTGAGGACAATTATAGAGATAAATACTACTTCCCTTGTGACATCACAGAGGAACTACTTCTTTTGTGACACTAGGGATTGAACCCAGGGAACATCGAGCTATCCCCTCAAGTCTTTTTAATTTTATATGAGACAGGGTCTCACTAAGTTTCCCAGGCTGACCTCAAATTTTCATCACCTCCCCAACTCCCTGGCAAAGTAACTGCAATCATAGGCATGAATCACCACACAGAATGAGGGCCTCTTTCATATACTACTTACATAATAAATAAGTAAAACCCTGGTCATAATCACTAAGAAATGATGACATTCCTTGGTGAACGAACTGTATATAGTGAGATGTTAGTATTCTCTTAATTTTATTTAGTTATATAAAGATTCAGTATCTCCACTAGATAATAAAACCTTCATCCAGGAAGAATACAAAAAGTACAAAACATTTGCCTAGTTGAAAGAGGTAATGGATCCAAATCACTTACAAAGATGATTCTTTTGAATCATTGTGAGAGCTAAATAGCACATCTGTTTATGTGCTTGGAGTAATCTCTTTATCTAATGTGACTAGCTTCAGTGATTCATAAAATTACTTCAGTTTAAATTTTAGCGCAGGGGCTCGAGGTGAGCAATTCTACTAAATAAAATCCTCCACACAGTCATACATCTTTACAGTATAAAAAATTATGTCTAGCTACCTCTAGCAGAGTCAGGTAAACATGCTAGCAATATAAATAGAGCATACTTTAATCTGGTCAGCTGTTGTACTCAACCAGAAAGGAAAAAGTCAGCCGAGATGACTGGCAACATGTGGCCTACAGCCAGTTTTATTTCTAAAGTTGACCCTATGATTCCTTGACTCGAGAATTTCCAAGTTCTTGACTGTAATACAAACAAAACATTTAAAGACCATATTTTGCTAATATCACCTACAGAATTACAACTTTTCATGATGCTATTAAGTAAACACTCTTTCCAGATAGGTCCTCATTAAATGATAGATCATACTTTTTTTAAAATAGAATTTTAAGATTTCTATTTTAATACATGCCTGCCTGGCAAGCACAAGATCCTGAATTCAATCTCCAGTACCCCCCAAAAATTCATTTTAAATATGTTTATTGTTATTATTCTTTTTCAGAATAGCTTCAAGAAAGACACAGGGCCTGGAGATGCAATAGTTACATATACTGAATTATAAAAATAAAACTGCAAAAGTGTTAGAATTAAAGTAAAACTAACACTCTTGAAACAGTGACATGGCCAAAAGGAAATAAAACAACTACAAGTATGTGTTTGGTCTGTTTGCATAGAGGAATGAAAAGATGTCAGTAGGTAAAAACACTCTGAAAACCGAAGTGAAAGATAGCCAAAAATATATAAGGAAAGCATAAGAAAATAGGATACAAAACTCCATTGATCCCTACTTGAGACCATCAAATGATGTAAAAATGTTATTTTCACACTACATCCTTGAATGTAAATTGTTTGCTAAACTTGTTTCATGAACATACCAGAAGTATGTAACTGCTTTTTAACTTATACATTTATAATTTGTTATTACCTATCCAAACTACTGTTACTAAGTATCATTACAACAATGTATATGCATATATATATATATATATATATACATATATATACATACATATATACTGCATTGTCATAGTTAAAAATACATAAAGCAATGTGAAAAACTGATAAAAATCATTATGTATATACTATTGAAATAGCATTTATAAAAAGAAAGTTAATTTTATGCTTTAAGACAAGCTTTGTTCCTAAAATTATTGGATATTTGAACTAAGTGTTTATACTTGACACACACACACAAAGAGAGAGAGAGAGAAAGAGAGAGAGAGAGAGAGAGAGAGAGAGAGAGAGAGAGAGAGAGAGAGAGAGTTCTGAGTTAGGAGTTCTGATTTCTGGTTCAATCATACCTTTTACATCTTCATCCTCAATTGTTGTATTTGAACTCTCTGTTGACTCCTGTTGAGAAGAAAACACATTTAAGTAGCAGACAATGAACAGTTTGGCTTCTTAAAAAACTGGCCAGTGATTTACTTATCATGCAAAACTCTTCAGCAGGCTGTGTGCATATGTTGACATGCAAATGGACAAATACAAAAGTGGTTGTAACAGAAATAAAATGTCAAATGCAAACATTTCAAAAAGGAAGTACTCTGGTTGCCTAATCCCTGAAGCAGAATCAATCCAGGTGAGTTGTAGCAGTATGCAGTCTATTTCAGAACTGTGTGGATGTGTCTGTGTTATAGTGCCTCCAAGTCTGCTTTTTCAAGTGTGTTTATGAAAAACTGAGTACATTATTTAAATGAATTGGAATCTTAAAATAGAACAATTTTTATTTCCAATTCATCAATCAGTAAATACTGTCTTCTGTGTCAGACACTTTGTTAAGCGCAGAAACTCCAGCCTCTCTGCCAACCTCACTCCTTGGTGAAGAAAAAAAAAAGGCATTTGTTGTATCATTTAATGAAGTAGCTAAAGGTAATACACTTAGATAGGCTGAAAACAGTTACAAGATTTTTTCATATTTATGATCAATGCAATGGGATTATAATGAATAATTTACATTTAAGAGAAAATTAGATTTTTCCAGTCTTTTTTTGAATTAGAAATTGGCTGCCATTGATAACAGACTGTTTTCCATAAAATGAAGTGTTCTTTATAAAACTACAAATAAAGTTGAAGATTAGTAAACACACTGAAAAGTACACTGTCACTGCCCATATTAAGATACACTTCTTAAAACAATTTGATAAATGTTCCCATTAAAATGTACTAAGATAATTTTTGGCAAAGAGATTTTACTATATTCATAAGGAAGACACAATACTCTACTTGGACTGGTTAAAGGCTAGCACTGAAAATAATTGGAAACAAACTTCCAAGTAATAGCTATATACACAGTGATGAAAAACAGATTTTGGAAGGTGACACAAATACTACTCTGTGTCCTTTTATAGATTCAATACTTTAAAAAGTAATTATATAGATATATTTTATCTTTAAACCAAAGGAATAAACTGAAGATCTATCCAGAGTTCTCCTCCATACATACAAAACGAAAGAAAAGTTCTCATGCACTTTCTGTGTGATGGAGCTTTCAGAATTAAATCCAAAATGAAGGTAAACCCATGCACTGTAAAAACAAATTAATCCAAGTAAGCAAGAAATGCCATGCAGCTCTTACAAATGGGATAGCTAGAACTATGGCAGGGTCCACTCCGCTGTTAACACTTGGTCTTTCATTTGCTAATTCTATTAAAAACCACTATCATATGTGATACTATTGATTATCATGTCTTTTAGGGATGAGAATATCTCCAGTGTTATGACTATTAAATATATTTCATTTTTAAAGAGCTGATTTTTTTTTATTTTAAAGAGTATAATATTGATCAACTGACTAAGAAACCAGAGAGGAAACGTGTTTTCTGAGTCATCAACATCGACACAAATAAGGACCGTAACTATGCTAAATAGTTGTAAAAAGTTAGAGGCTGTATTGTTCCTTTACTTAGAGATATAATAATGTTCAAAAAGTAATGAAATGAAAACATGGGATACATTCATAAAATGTTTCCCTTGATATTACAGATATGTAAGTGCTGTTATTTAGTTAACAAGCTGTACAAATAATTTACAATAAGTAGAACACATTAGTCTTCACTAAGCATAATTAGAAAATCTGTTATGAAAATGCATGTAACACAACAATAACAAGCATTTCACAAAAAGTGAAACTCCATGATTCCCCTGAAATTTCTATTAACAACAACAACAACAACAACAACAACATCCTCCACAACAAGGAACTGAACAACAACAACAACAACAACAACAACAACACAAAAACAGTAAGAAAATCACAAAAAAATCCATTATGGCAACAGAACAGAATAAAAATTAAAAACAATGTTAAATTTAAACAAAAAAAAATCTATGAACTGAAGTTGATATTTCTGAAGACAATGGAATGACAGCAAGAAATTCTACAATTTCATGCGGCATATACACCTACAGTACAATGCACAAGGAGGCATGGGAAAAAGAAAAGACCAGATGGAATTGCTTAAGATACACAGTCATCTTGACATAAAGACTTTGTTAAGTGTTTAAACTGACTTTCATATTTTATTGACTATTATTCATTTCTTTTTCAGGTTGTCATTTATTTTTAATTTAAAGAAGTCTGTGGATAGTTTTAGAGTTAAGCCAAAAAGGATGTACAGTACAAAAAAGGTACATTTTTTTTCTGTTTTTAGGTTATGAACCAATTTTGACTATTTGATGAGATGTGTAATCCTGTAAAAGCCAGATGAAGTTGATTCTTTCTGAATACCTTGTTTCCATCAGGGTTGTGGATTACAGTAGTTTGGGGCTCCTGAGTGAGAACAAAATAGAGAAAGAAACAGTTTGCATTGGTAAATACATTCTTACTAGTTGGAGGGACAGAGCAGAGTGAGCCAACCAACAAAACAAAAGAGTGACAAGAGCTAAAGCCATGTTAGCTGCTCACAAAGGCTGCAGCTGACAAGATCTCTGATGAAAGCTCTCCCTGGTGGGCCCATGAGGTAGGGCACATCCCTACCCCAAAGCGGCATGCAGAAGACCTTATTCCTGATCAAGATACAGACAAGGCTTTGAAGCTAGGAGACCTAAAGAGGCACTCACTGTTTCACCGCATCCTATGCCAGATAGTGCTTGCCTTTGTGCTTTAATGAGTGGCTGAGTAATGTCCATCCCACAGAAGACTAGACCAGCACCCTGGAGACAGAACTCTTTGGCAAGACTTCCAATTGTCTATGAAGTTATTTTTCAGCAGTGTTACTTTGAGAATTGATTATGGTGCCATTATAACTAACATATAGCTGAAAACTTTTGGAAAAAATCTAGAAATGTTGGATCACACTTTAAAAAAAGTCTAGCCTAAAGAATTACTTCAAGTCCATGAGAAGGGCCATCCAGATAGCTCAGCGGACTAACGCACCTGCTTAGGCAAGCACAGGGTTGGGGTTCCATCCACATGTTGTGTCTGTGCTGGCCCGCCCCCAGGGCATGCTGAGATGGCAAATGAGACTGGGCATGGTGGCGCTTGCCTGTAATCCCAGAATTTGGGAGCCTTAAAACAGGAGGATCACTACGAGTCCAATCTGTGCACTGAGAGCCTGTAGACCCTGCACTAAAAGCCCTTGAGAAATTCCAAGGAACATTTATTGAATGGTTCTTCTACAAGGTTCTCTAATCATGCAACCACTATAATTAGAAACATGTTTCTGCTAAATGCTATTTTAATTTACTTCTGAAATTTCCTTTCAGCGGATTAAGTACTTGTGCCTGTAATGCCAGCACTGGGGAGCCTGAAAACAGAAGGATCACTACGAGTCTGAGCTGCAGAGTGAGACCCTGTACTAAATACATTAAAAAACAAACAAAAACCTAAAATTTTCTTGCAATATGGACCTTATATATACAATATTTCATTGTACAGTCCTATTTTTCCATGATGAAACTATTATTTTTCCTGTTGTTTTCTATCAAAAAAATCAAAACAATACTGTCAACTGGAAAATAATACTCAAATCCTGCTTGGCATTTTCATTACATGTCTTGGCACCTGGGAATTACTGCCAGCCACTGAGAGTTTTCTCCCAGCACAGGCATTTGCCCACCATAATGGTTTATAGCACATACTTACAAACTCTTATCTATTGCTTGACTTCTTCCTTCCCTTACTAAGCTGGGCTCAACAGTGATTATTATTTTAAGAAAAGATTTACTAATGTGTTTCAACACTGCCTTTATTTTTTGTACTTTATGGGGACAAACACAGGATTCTCATCTGATAGGCAATTGTTCAACCACTGTTATGGCTTTGATCTAAAATGTTCCCCCAAATTCTCATGTGTTCAGAGATAGGTGACTGGATGTAACTGGATCACAGGAGTGTAACTCATGAGTCGATTCATCCACAGATGGGCCCACAGATAAAAGTGATGCTGGCACTTGTGTGTGCGGGTGACTGGAAGAGACGCATAACTGCAGGTACAGCTGGAGTGGGGTTTTCTTGTCCCGTCACCCTTCCTTTCCCTCTGCTTCTGGCCACAACAGGTGAACAGCCTTTCTCTGCCATAATTCTTTGCCAAGATGTTTGTGCCCTCAAGCCAGCTGACCGTGGACTAGAACCTCTGAAACTGTGGAGGTAAACAATCTTCTTCTTTAAATTGTGAGTGGCAGGTGTTTTGTGCCTGCAAGAAAAAGCTAACCAATATAATCACTGAGCTAGCCCCCAGCTCTGATAACCTGTTATTTTGATGCCACCTTCCTTTAAATGTTTTTAAATTGAGCCTACTGGTTAATTCAAGGTAGATAATCCTCCAATATTTTTATTTACTTAAAATAACAGTAGAAAAAGAGCAAAAATCCAGAAAAAATTTTCAAAATTTTACATTAAAATATGGAATAGTTTGAGGACAATATTATGTAACTCAGAGCAACTAAATGCCAGTATTCAAATTTTGAATTTGAATATAATACTATTACAAAGCATTAAACTGATCTAGTGAATTGTGCAAATTTGAATGAAATGAACAATGCTGGTTTCTATAATTCTAAACTATGGAATTTTTGTGCTTTGGATTAATGTGAAACAGTAAAAATTTAACTTGAAACACAACAAACAAAAAGCTTTAAATTACCCAGTGCCTCTTTATCTCAGTAAGTAAGGTCTTACAAAGCCATGTTGTCTTTCAGAAAGAAGAAACAGGAACTCTGAATAAGGTCTAGGCTTATGCTGTCTAGCAATAATCCTGTTAGCTCTCCTTGATGTCAACGTTTGGTCCCCGAAAGAAGAAATCATCATGTGTGCAAGAGCTATCATCATCTGAAGAGCTAAGAGCAACCAAAGCGCATTCTACTGAACTTCTAAGGCAGCATGCGACAGTCTCAACTACAGAGACCAGAACACTGTTTGACAATGAAATGACATAATCTCATGTTAGAAACACAATGCTTGATAGCTATCTTAACCAAAATAAATAAATAAATAAATGAATAAATAAAGAAATTAACATTTTTCGTATCTTAGAAAGCCAAAAACAAACAAACAAAAAACCAAAAAAGAAAAAAACAAACAAAAACTCATGAAAATAAAATGTTTATATATATGTATCTATATAGTGAAAGCAAATGAAAGAAACAACAAAATACGGTAAAGAACTTAAGAAGGGTTACAAAGAGTCCAGGTATACCAGCGCCGGGGTAGGAATATTTTCTTTGGGGCTGGTTACCACGTTGGCTTTGTTGTTTATCTGTGGGTATGCAGAAAATAGAAAGAGACGCCTTAAACCCCTTGATAGCCAATGTCTCCACACACAACATGTCTACATGGAGATACAGCAGTGAAAATAGAGAGCCCTGAAGATGAATGGGAGACAGGTGATAATGGACAGAAGGGTGCCACTTCCAGCCTCCAAAAGTCACACACAGTCCAGGACCTTGTCTGTTATGGTGCAATGATAACAGAGACTTGGTTGCTTCAGCTCTGCCACCTTAGCAAGCAGTCATAGAGCTGCTTCCATGGAGCTCAAACTGAGTTTCAGAGTATAACCATTTTCATACTCTTCAAGTTGGAATCTGTTTCCAAACTTCACTGCTATGAATGAATACATTCCTATTTTAATATCAAGCCTGAAGTCACACACAGATCGTCTTTCTCTGGAATGCCATCATGACTTTCTTTACTAGATACCTTGATTAAAAACTTAACATCTAACAGAACGGAGGTGTCAAGATATTATTTTAAAATGCTAAGTCTGAGTTGCTACTAAAAATATATCCTTTATTAGTTCAAAAATCTAACTCTTTGCTATACGTTGAATATAAAAATTTCATAATTTGAGAGAACACTCTGCTTTCTGTCTAAAGTTTTACTGTTATCATTGAAGAATAGGTTTGGTAATATCACTTCTTCATGTTAACACAATTGGCTTTATCCATCAAGAAGTCATCATATTGCTGTGGAAGGGATGTTACAACAGAAAGGCAAAGGGTAGTAAATTTATAATAGCACACAGAAGACTCATAGACAAGGGGCAACTTGAAATTATAGTCAAGTTTGAGCATTCGAGAATCAAAGACTAAAAAGCAAAAAATAGTAATTTTTTAAAGTCATTCGTGACATGGTTATAGCTATCAAACAGAAATATAAACTGGGGCTGGAGAGATGGCTCAGTGGTCTAAAGCACCTACTTGGAACAAGCTTGGCAAAGTACAGGGACCACGGTTCGATCCCCCAGCACCACATGCCAGCCAGCTGCGCCCCCTGGTGGGCTGAGCTGGCCACACACACACACACACACACAATAAATAAATGTTAAAAAAAAAGAAATATAAACTATTTTCATTTTCATATATTATCCATGTATTTTCAGTATACATTATTTTCTAAAGGAATATACCCCCAAATTTTAGTACAAGTATAAATGTACTCAAGGGATTAAAGAGAAACACATAGAAGACATAATAAATGATTACATAATTGTTTGGTTTTTCAGAAACTTTGTGCATTATTCTTAGAGGTTATATTGAAATTAGCACTGGGAAGAAGAGGTAGCAGAAGTTAATTTAGGCAGGTAATGGTTTTCTATTCATTCACATTTGTGTGATTACTAGGATGAGCATTATTCAAACAACTGTAACATTGTGCTCTGTGACATGCAGAGAAGTTAAATTTTCCTTCATTGAAAAATTCATTACATGTGACACTATTGATCTACAGTTTGTAAGTCGTTTCAAACATTTCCTTAAAGCGCAAAAAATTTAACACAAAGTTTGTGTAAGAGCCAAAAAAAGAGATACAAGGTAATGGTGTCTATTAAAAAGGGATAAAAAATGTATTTAGGTCAGTGTAAGACACATGAGAAAAGGGGAGGGATATACACAAATAACCTTTTATTCAGGAAGACTGCTTGCCAAACTAGCTGGCTTCTTGTCAAATGATCAGGGACACTTATAAAAGTGTCATGTGTATTTTTTTCCCCCAGTATCAGGGACCAAACTCAGGACCTTGTTTTCACCAGGCAGGCATTTATGCCTCTGAGCTATATCTCTGGCCCAGTGTCATGTGTATTTAAAATGTTATATTTAATTTATATCAGTAAATTCAAACAACAATAATTTTCTGAGATATGTTTATTCTGTTTCAAGATTGTTTTCCTATGATGTACTTGCTAAGAACTACTTTATGTTAGTGAAAAGGTCTCACATGCGTACCTATGCATACACACGTGTCTGTGCAAGCACACAGTGTTCTCTGCCCCACACTCACACATAGATTCACAGGGAACACACACCACCAGCTCTCAAAGAAGGCCATGCTGTCTAAGCAAACCATCCTTTAGTGCCAGGTGGAAGAGACATGAGTTAAATTAGCCTAATGATTTTGTTTTTTGGTTTGTTTTTACTATAAGAAATATAAGTATTTACAATATTAATTAATTACAAGTACTAGAAAAAATTCTAAGTAAAAAGCTAGAAGATCTTCCTTTCAAAGAGTAAAAATATCAAGTAAAGGTTCAACTATACTATTTTTTGAATGCAGTTATTTTACATTGTGGACACATTCTATTTTTCTTTTCTATAAAACCTGGCTTGAATCAGACATTTAAATGATACACTGAATTACTTTTATGAGACACAGATAAGGTATCCTTATTTCTTGGGTGCTGAATTTATTAAGGTCTGAGGTTAAAACATTTATTTCCTTTTAGGATGGATCTACTACTACAAGATCATTTTCACATTATTTATAAACTTCATAGTGAAATATTATAGTCTGAGCTAAGAAGTATTCCTATTTTAGTAATCATAACCATCATTTATGAAACAATCCTACACTACCTCTTCATTTATAAGTAAATGTTCATTATTATGTCATGCTACCTTTATTTTCTTTTTCTTTTTTTTTATTAATTTTATTGAGAAACGAATAGCAGAGACAGTTTCAAAACCAATTAGTAGGACAGTTTCAATAATTAACACATTGCATATTGTTGTCTTCATAGTGGTTGTTCACACTACAAGATGCAGACATGATATCCTGTCCAAGCTACCTTTATTTTCAAAGACAAATTCGACTTTGCCTATGTGGAAGGTCAAATTCTTTAACAGCATATAGATGAAGATTTAACGTTTTCGATAGTTAAAAATTTAATTTCAGAGAAAATCAACATGAAAGTAGGCTACATCATTTTGACATGATCACTGATTTGTCATGATTATAATCTCTCCATTTACACTAACTGTAAATATGACTATTTTATTTCTAGTTGAATTTTCAGAGGAAAAACCTGGCAGAAAGAGATCCTCACCATCATCTGAACACTCGAACTGGACTTCCTTTTCTGAATTGACCAGTCAAAGCAAAAGGAAAAAAAAAAAATGACCGGTTGAATTAAAAGTACCAAAGCGCTGAGTACAAAATAATTTTGTCTTTAAAGAGAACAGAGTTAAGTTTGCTAAATGAATAAGATTCTGAAAATATTTCTTTCTATATAAGGATAGTATTGAAAATCAGCATCTCCATAAGAAACTCTTGAGTTCTCCATAACTGAATGGTACAGAAGAAAACATGGAAAATTGAAAATATCACATTTCCACCAAGGCAATATTGGGAGAAAGGTAAACATCAACTTTCACTATTGAAATTGAAAGTCCAAAACTAAGCAGAAGAAAGACACAATTACAGGTTGAGAGAACTAGTGGCAAATGGAAAAGCTGTCATAATAGGAACCCAAGTGCATGGTCACCATGGCTCAGGAAATTCCCAAATTACACACAGACACATGGTGAGGAAATGATGGGGTGCGAACACAAGTGACAAACGATGTTCTATGCTAGATTTTCAGTATGAAATGACAACTTTGAGTCAACTTCAAATGTTAAAAGTATTAATTAATTCCCAAGAATGTTGAAGTGTTGATAAGAAATGTATACATCTGCCATTGGGAAAGAAAGAAAAAGATTAAAAAATAAGACATTTATATGATATGCTGAAAAGAGAACAAACATTATTATGGACATCTATGTTTATATCCCATCAAAAGTAATCTCTTGAAACAAATACAATCAGTTGTATTATTTTGATTAGAAATATAAAAAATTAAATCAAAATGTCCCATATTTTGGAAGATTTTTCTAATATTTTTTCAGAATATGCAAGTCGAACCTGTTTTTAAAACCTGTAATACAAATATTGCAAAAATTGAGACCTCTACAAAACACTGCCCAAACAGAATTTTGTCATCTTGTTTGATTTCTCAGATGCACTAGTTTTTTTTCTCCCAGGCTTTAATAATTTTTCTTAGCCTTTAAGTACATATTGTGATTGTTTGAAAAAGCATTTTTTTTTCATAAATTTTTCTGATAACCATGGAAGTTTAGAATTGTAGAAAAATAGTGGGGATTTAGATATTCAGCTTATAATGGAATTTCATGAATAAATATTAATTTTCAAAGTTATTTAATATATAATCAAATTGAAAAGGTACTTTTCTTCGTACACATGTGTACATTAGTCATCTTTGTGAATTAATTATTTCATATTTCAACCTGCATCCCTTATAAAGAACTAAAAAGTATACAAGCTGCAAAAATACAGGGCTTATATTTAATACTGTACAATTATGCAGCATCTGAAAATCTGACATGGCTTAAGAATACCTGCTTAACTTACCTTTACTCCATCTGGTTTCTTCAACAAACTCTTAGCTGCTGCAAGATGAAAGCAAAATCAGTTTAGCGAGTTATCCATTGAAACCCATAGGTAGGCAGCATAACAAGTTACTGTCTCTTTGACCACCTGTGTCAATTATGGCTAACATATGCCAAGTTATCAAGGTCACACTGATGAGCGCGAGCTTACAGAACACTGAAATACAGTATCACTTTTCTGGTTTTGCAAGCTTACAGGACATTGAAATACAGTATCACTTTTCTGGTTTTGCCACAACAAATTTAGAACTAAAATCTTATGTAGTTCATTGCATAAAATTGCACACTTTTCCACTTGGGTTTTGGTTGCGAAAAGGATACTGGAACTTTAACTGGACTATCCTTTTGTAATCCAGAAAGTTATTTTCAGTCTTGAGACATCAGCTGACAAATTGGGTCACATGTTCATTCATACTACAAGTCAGTGGCAAAGTCAGTTCTATCCTTGAAGCCCCTCTCTGTAGAGGGTGAAAACTCACCTGTGAAAATTTGCCCTTGCTAAATAACATAATTTTTATATTTTTGATAATTTCAGATTTTAAAAAAATATTAATAATTGTGTCTAAAACAAAATGTGATATATTGACCTAGTGGAAAAATTTTAAATGTGTAGCATATGATCTTTAAAAAAATGGTATTATGCATTATTTAAACTTCAAAATCAGAAGTTTAAAAACCTTTAATCTGAAAAACTAAAAATCATAAATGTGAGCCAATATATAGAAGAAAATAAAATGTTTAAATCAGGAAAATTCTAAAGTGTTTTATGTAATTATTTTTTATGGGGAGGAAGATTATTATTTCTGAGTACCTTAAAAGGTGAACTTATTCTTTTACAATATATACTTATGCATGGGTACAAAGGTGGTAGACACATAATATAACTAGCAATGACTATTAGTATATCAGGTATAGAATATACACAAGTATGCAAGACAAGGTACACACTTCCATAATGTTAATTAGGTCTACATTACTTAAGTACATTAAAATGGAGGTTGATATCTGAAGTGAAAATACCTAGCTATCATAAAACTTCATGGGCATGTAATTTCCTAATATTCTTTAGAATTGGGACATTATATTGATTGTCACTTTGAAAAAAATTAAAACTTATTTTAAAGATGCAAAATTAATTATATTTAGTCTATTGCAACCAGAATATTAATTTATAATCAATTGAGTCTGTTAAGTAATTAACTGTTTTGGCTAATAATGGCAAATATTGTTTGCTTGGAGCTAACAAGCAATATGAAGTAAATCCCATGGCAGTTAATAGGTTAGAAAGCAGACTTAGGATAATTGGAATTGCAACAGCAAGCAAAGAGAAGACAATGATTTAGGGTAAGCAGCGATTTGGCCTGGGCGATGCAGAAATAGCCCTTTTTGTTACTGTTTACCTTACCTCACAAGAAATACATTCCACATACAGGGAGAAAAGAAAAAAATAAAAACAACTTTATAACCATATACTTACGGACAGATTACTTTAAAAAGCATGTTTGGCAGTGAAATAGGATGAGTGAAATACTCAAAACTAAAACGCAATATTAAGTACAAAATGTCACTGACTTGAATGTTATTCAGCTGAGAAGTAATGACTTAAACAAAAGTTTGTTTTTCATGCTAAAACATTCACAAATGATATACAATTTACATATTAGTCATGAATTTTTAGTTCAAAGGATGATGGAAGGAAAATATGAGGTAACTTAAAAAGCTTCCATAAATGGATGAAAACATTAATTAACAAAGGCCCAATTTATGTCTTAAAAGCATATTTAACATTTCAACACAATACAATTATGTTTCTTGAGTTTTAAAAACTTAGTTTGCCATTAACAATATATACTACATAAATCACACTACCTATAGTGATTCTCTAAGTTATTGGGCCATGGTGAAACATTTATCTTTTAATATTCAGTATTATTACTTAATATGTAATGAGATGGCATTGAACTTACTCATGTAAATGACAACCACATTAATAAAGTGTTTACAAAACAGGTAACTTGACAAAAGTAGCAACGAGGTTTTATCACGTTAAACAAATCAGATAAAATACATGCAACTGACCAACACAGTCCCTTAATTTGTGGCACTGCTCATTGTATCATTATTGTTGTTGTATAACAGCCTATGGTGTTCATATTATCTCTAACTAAAATGGAAAGGAGGTAAAAGGTAACTTTTGAATATAACTGTAATGGCTGGAAATTGGTTGAGGAACATTGATAACGACATGCTGACTCATCTCCTTTTATCACTATATCATTTAGACTGTAAAATATAGAACTGAAAAAAAGGCAGAATAGATTAATGCTATAGATTACTGTCACAAAAATAGCATGAGTACTAAAGTAGTAGTATTTTTGGTAACTATTTTCAATCTAAACATCCAAATTTTATCAACTGCAGCTTAATTACTCTATAGTTCCTCTGTGCACTTAAGATTGGTATTTATGAAAATTTGATTTTTAGGGACCTAGTGCTTTGAGATAAGCTATCAAGGAATGGAGCTTCAAGACTCAAATAATTTCTGGAAATAATGTGTATCTTCTATCTGTTTTAGACAGTGACTTTTACAATAAAGAGACTGTTTGGCTTCTTTGAGGCTATAACAAACATTTTCACCATGGAAGTGTTTTGAGGAATGTTTATTGTGTGTAAGTTTTTGAGTTAGATGCCTCGGTAGCTCTAGCCATTCTTACAGCATGCTAAGGTCTTACTGTATTTTGGAAAGAGCTTGGGTCTAAGAGTACTGGGTCTCCAATAAAGGTCTTTAAAACATCGTACTTATTTGAACTCTCTATGAGAATGAATCAAAAACAACATATTCATAGTTACTGCTTCATGAAATATCAGTGAATTTTAGGTTTGACCTGTTGAGGTTCAAACCGAGGGAGCACGTAGTCCTTTCTCCAGTTCTGCACCTGCCCTGTCTAAGAGGGTGTCAAGTCTCTGGAACTGGGACTGGCTGGCATTGCTGAGCCATGCTGGGATCTTGCACTCTCAGGAGGCTCCGTGGCAGACGGCAACTAGAAGCAGAGCTAATGGTGGCTATAAGAGTGGAACGAATCTGTGTCACCTACTTGGCATCTGTGAATGATAGGCTTTCCCATTTGGATTTTTTTTTAATTCTAAAAAGATTAAAAAAAATTTTAAACTGTTAAAGTGGAATGTAGAGGTCCTAATATATGTACCTGAAAAATTCCTTGTAGCCAGCATGGTTGTCAAAATGGCACCCTGTCAAAGAAATAAGAAAAAAGTCAATGTTGCCTTTGCAAATCTTTGACCTTACAATACAGTCTTGGATAAACAGTGTTCATCACTGAGTTTTCTTTTCAAGAGGGGGACTTTTGATTGTTTTTCTTGTGCAGCTTCCTGAGAGCCCACGGCCTATGTCTCTCAAGACTCTGGGACAGTCCTCATGTGTGGGCCTAATTTAGGCTCTCAAACTGCCAAGCTGTTTTCTGCTGAAAGGAGAAACCATAGCACATCTGCCACACTGACCGGAGCTGCTTCTTGCAGGCTGGATTGTGGTGCATATTCCTTTCCCCACTGAAAAGCTGTTCTTAAAACTTTGAGAACAATGGTTGACTCCTCACCCTGCCAAATCTACCTCTCCTCAACAACGTAAATGCTCTTACCTTCAGTTTTCGTCTAGCATTGAATTTCTTCAAACAATCCACAGTCTCCTGTCTGTGCATCATGGAAGCAACAGTAGAACGTTGCTGGAAGAAAAGGAGAAACAAATAAGGCTTAACTGAGGATATCTGAGACATACTATGCATAACCACATCCTTAAATTTATCAGATCTTTATATTTCAGGACAAAAGTTGGACTTGTAGTGATCCTCCTGTTTTCTGTCTCCCCAGTACTGGGATTACAGGTGTGTACCACCATGCCCGGACTCATTCCTGGCTCAGCACACCCCTGAGTGGGGCTGGCGTGGCACATGGGACCAGGGATCGAACCCTGATTCATGCGCTTGCTGAAGCAGGTGCTTAGTCCACTGAGCTATCTCACCAGCCCTATTCTTAGTCCTTTTAAAGCATATTCAGACTGTTACCATCATCTGTTTATGCTGCTGTATGCAAGTTTACAACCTCATACATGTTCCCAAAGCTGTTTAATGATAAATAATTTAATTTTTTCTTCTGCGATATGTTCAATCTTGGTTTTACTATCTTAACCTCTGCTCATGAGTCTGTCAATTATTGATATGCCAATTATTGAATAAGAATTATTCCTTGTGTTATTGTAGATAATTATCAATCCATGTAGATTTTCCTATACAAAATGGTATTTTTCACCACTATAAAATTAATTTCTTAAACATCTTTCATAAAAAATATACTGTACAAAAATATATTCATTTTGAGTTTCATACCTTCTGGAAGAGTTATTTTAAATCTCTGAAAAGTAATATTAAAGGAGAGTTTATTTTTCATTCTATCTGCTGTGAGTTTTGAAGGGTTGCTTACACAGATCCATGGGTGTTTCAGGGCCTCTGAGGCTGTGATGCGTTTGGCAGGGTTGATGGTGAGCATTTTGTTGATGAGGTCTTTGGCTTCAGGAGTCACTGTGTCCCATTCTGGTGATGGAAACTTCAAAAACATAAATTTACAAAAAGTTAAAATATAGGTACACTCAAATAAGAACCAACTATATTAATCATTCTATAGGTAGTGAATTTCTTTATAAATTTACCTTTCTTATAAGTTAAATTATATTCAAAATATTCAGTTTAGATCTAGGACAAATACTAAAGACTGAGAAGGGGCCACCGTGTGTATATAATACATAGTAATAGTAAATATATTTCAAAATTCAGAAGAATAGACTAAAAATATTATGTTCCTCTCAAAATAGCTTTGATTTGACCTGAAAATGAAATCTGATGCAATCTTCCCCAAAGTCAAGTGGATAACTCCAAAGAAGCTGTATCTTTGACATATGCACTGAAGTCATGATGCTAATGTTCAACAAGGGGTATTCACCAATTTGCACAACTCATGAGCACAACAGCAGACATAATAAAATAACTCTGAGTCCCAGACAAATTGACCTGTTCATTGTAGATACTTAAGAGTGCTGTGCTGAGAAATCTGAGGCTACTAGAACTTCAGGATTTCACATTCATACTAATTATAAATTTCACCAATGTGCAAAGAAAGTAAGCAGCTCCCATGACACCATTAATAATTCATGATCACATTAATAATTAAATAATGTACTAATTATCCTCCCTTTCCTGACAGTTTTTTGTTAATCATTTAACATTGCTTTCATGTAATCAGCATATTTGCAAAAATAATTCTTCATAAATTACCATAAATTTACAAAATATTAATTGCTAAATGACAGAATATCAAGTTCTTTTCCCAATTCATGAACTTTTATAGACAATTTGACTAACAAGCCATTGTCATTTGCCATGCCAATGTCACTGAATCTCTTTCTGTAGATACAGAATAGGCAGCTTGTGGACCAACGGCAAAGTGAAAGCTGAGAAAAATGACAGTGACTCACTAATACCTATAAGTTTTGCTGGTTTAAGGGGTGTCATTTTTCAATTTCAGAAGTTTATTTGGAGCAGCTGTAAAACTTTGCTTTCACTTTTGAAGATACACTGAAGGCTGTGTCTGAACACACAGTAGATCTCCAAATAGCACAGAAAAACCAGGTGAGCCTGAATAAAGGTGGCCCTCTCCCTCACTTTTCTGATTTCCAGAAAAGTGGCCCTTTCTCACAGTCTTCTCCATTTTCCCAGTGGTGCGCACAGTATATCTACAAGGCTGGGTCAGGCCAGACGGGCTGGGTTTAGTCTGTCAAAGTGGCTACTGCACAAGCTTTGGACCATGGCTTGGTCCACTTATTCATGGAAAAGAATGCTTCAAAATTAAAAGAATATACATTTTAAGTTCTTGATAATTGATAAATATACTGACCTAAATTTAGCACTTTAACAGAAACACACCAAAGAGGTCATGAGACTTGACAGAATATAAATACAACTTTCTATATCTAATCGTATCATTTCTACACTGAGCCTTTACTTTGTGCTCAGAAGGAGGACTGACTGTGTTTCAATATCCCAGCTTAGTAATTCATGAAAAGCAGCCCAGAACATGGATTTCCAGAAAGATGTGTGAAGTGAAGCCCAAGAATGTGGTGAACTGTACTTAAAGAAACAGAAGCATGTGCTTTAGAATTGATGCTTCAGTCAACAATAGACTGAATACATGACAGTCTATAACATGGTACCTATCACCTAATTTGTCCTAATCATTATGCTGTGGCACAACACGCTGCTGATGTTTGTGGTGATGCTGGTATAAACAAGCCTACTGCACTGCTGGTCACGTAACAAGTTAACATATACAACTATGCACAGTGCACAATATTTGATATTGATATTTAACAACTATGCTACTCATTTATGTGCTTACTATAGCATGTTTCTATTGTTATTTTAGGGATTTTTCTTTCATTTCTTAAAAAATGCTTATTGTAAAGCAGTACACCTCTTTACTGCAATAACAGCCTCATATGCATCTCTTGATTGTATCAAGAGGCCAAGTGAGTGATTAATTTATACCATCAAGGTTTGTGTAAGTGTACTCTATGGTGCTCACACAGTAACAAAATCTTCTAACAATGCTTTTCCTGGAAAGCAAATCTGTCATTAAACAAGACATATTTATTAAAGAGAGAAAATTGTATTAATGAATAGAAAGTTATCAGGAGAAAGTAGGTAAATTCTTCCTATTAAGATTATGGACAATATTCAAGAATGTAAGTGTGTTGTGTGTGTATGCATTTATATCTATGTATGTATCTATTTAATTTGTTTTCAGATATTCTAATTATTCATTAAATGTATTAGGATTTTAATTTACAAATATTTTTCAAATGTGAAACTCATTGTTCAAAAGGAAGCTTGCAAATAAGCCCATTAGATGAAAAAGAAAAAGATCTGACATAGTAGAAACAATGATACTCTACTTGACACAGTGGAACACTGGCAAAGTTTGTATATAATTAAAAATTATAACAGACAGGTAAGAATCACCAATAATTTCTAAAGCAGAAGTCTTTTAACTTTTACATTTTAAAATATGCTAATATCTGAATATTTTGACAAGTAAAGTCTTTCCTCAGAGATCTCAAATTCTTTTCCTTTCAATTTTAGGAGATGGTGAGTTGGAAATAAATAAAGAACAGGTTACATATTCTGTACCTCTTTCTCTTTTCCTACACAAAAGGGAAATATGGAAAATTATAGTTAAAAGAACAATAAGGAATCTGGCTCTTGGACAATTAAAAGTCAAACCCTTATCTAAGTGACAAGAATATTTATTACATACATCATATGCACCAGCCTTGATCTGCTGGTAGAGTCTGTGTTGGTCCTCATCCCAGAAGGGAGGATACCCCACCAGAAGAATATACAGAATGACACCTGGAGGAAAGCAGCAGAGTAACACAATGTAAGTTACAGGGACAATAATAATTAAAAGTTGCTCATCCACAGTGATACTGTGTTAAGTTCCCGTAATTAAGAATTCTGACAATATATCACTGGACCACGAATTGTAAAGTCATGGTGGGAAGACACCAAAGATGAAAACCAGCTGTCATTCTGGATGACACATCCACTGACTTTCCAAAATTTTGCTGTACTGACCCTGTGTTGGCTGTTATGTTAATAACAACCTGTTATTTCCTAGTTATAGCTTTGCTGGTAATTACAATATTCTGCTGAATGATGGTGTCCTGATTATACTTTCATGCTCTAAGTAACCAGGGTCCCTGAGAATGTGGATTACATACAAAAGTATAAGACTTTTTCTCTTTGGTGATCATAAGTCTTCAAAAACAGAATATTTTTCTTCGCTGAACAGTAAAACCAGCATTGCCACATGACAGTATAAGAGGAAAATGAAAGGGAAGAGGATGATGAAACTGCACATGAAATTCAAAACAATAAACACAATTGTAACATGACTTGGTATCTTGTTCATAAACAGGTAATTCAATCATTGTCCCCTTGTGTTTCCAAGGGCTTAGCTCTAACAAGCCCCATGGGCACAAAAAGCTGTTGCTCTCAGGGCCCTGACATAAAATTGTCTAGTATTTACATAAAACTATGTAATCTTCAGGTATACTTTAAATCATCTCTAGATTATACATAATATACCATGCAATGTAAACGGTTGTTATATTGTATTGTCTAGGGACCAATGTCAAAGAAAAAAGTTTGAATATGTTCAGTGTTTTTTTTAATGCTTTATTTTTATTTTTTTATTTTTCATAATTTTATTGATAAACAAATAGCAATGAGACAGTTTCAAATCAAATCGCTAGGACAGTTTCAATAACTAACACACTGCATACATTCTTCTTAGTGGTTAACTGCTGTACAAGATGTGGACTTGATATCCTATTTACAAACACCACTAGAACAAATCATTCTATTCATTAAGAGAATGTAACTATATATCTATCCTAATCACTTTGAATACACAGATACAAAATGGACATTCATCTGTATACCCTTTTTTTGTGAAGTTCCGTTATTGGAATATTATAGGTGTGTAAACTCAGCAAAATATTCTAAAAGAGTCCAGTAGCTCATAATAGCATTAGGTCTTCTGTTTAACTGGCAATGTCAGAAATTGTGACCTGAGTCCCCCACAGCTCAACTTAACAGCATGGCTTTCCTTCCTGTATTTCATCTTCATACTCTTCTACTGGATGGTTAAGACCAAGGTAAAGCAGGACCTACGCAACAAGAGTTGTAGCTTTTGGGTCTGATAAGGTCAGTGAAATCCCCTCAGGATTTATCTTGAGATCCTGTACCTCAGATTGTAGAACCTTTGTCAGCGTCAGCCATGTGGATGAGTCACGGCCCTTGCTTGGCCAATGTGCTCTCTGTGAAAGCCTGAGAGAATGTTTTCTCCCCGTGTGACTCTCCTTAGGCACATTCTACATCATCGATCACTTTCCTCTTTGGCCACATAATCTCCTTGATCAGAAAATTTGGGACACTACCAAGTTACATGATGTTACACTACAAGTTTTCATATGTCCGGAGTCTTAATTGACGTTAGAAGGTTAGGGTGAAAATGTTGGCTTTCCTTGCAGTCCTTCTTTTTCTCTAATTTTGGTCTGCAAACTTAGGTTGTTAACCATTCAGAAGACAAGGTTATTGTTATTATCAAACAACTTAGGGTGTTAAGCTTAACCTCACTATCTGTCTGCATATCAAACACCTTAGGCATAATAAGGAACAGGTATTTTTCATCAAGTATTGATATGTTGAGCTTTATGTCCCGACAGAATATGATAAAAACATTTAAAAATTAGAATCTATTTTAAAAATAGAAATAAAGAATTCTATACTTCTCATGTTTGCACATAAATCCAAAAATCTCACCATATACAACCTTGAAGCAGGACAGTCCTACAATATTCCTTTTCCTGTCTCTTGCTTTCATTCAACACCCCCTTCTTCTTGAACAGCCACCTACCCTAGAGACATCATAGCAGCAACTGGCATGTCATGACAAGCAGCCCATTGTCAGAAGACTAGAATAACAGGCACTCCAAACATGAAACTACTATTGCAAATTACCATGTGCAGTGCAGTAGCTTAGTTCACAAGTATCAGTATATATAGTTAGGGTGAGAATCTTTCCAATTAACTACTACATTAAAAAATCTTCTGAAGATTCTCAGGATCATGGCCTTGCTCATCTTCTACATAAAACTTTTTCCTAGCTCTTCTCCTTTCCCTCTCTTGATTAGTCCTTGAGATCCTGCTTTCCTTTTACTTGTATTATATCTTTCTATTGTATTTCTTCTTTTGAGTTCTTATACTAGGGAGACTATACGATATTTACACAAGTGTGTCTGGTTTATTTCACTTATATGTTCAAGTGGCATTCACTTCAATATAAAGGCTTGGAGTTTATCATTCTTAATAACTGAGTAATACTCCATTGTGTAAAAATACCACATCTTTTTCAACCATTCCTCAGGTGATGGGCATCTTGGTTGTTTCCAAGATTTGGCGATCACAAATTGTGCTGCCATAAACATAGGCACACATATATCCCTATGATATGATGATTTCAGATCCTCTGGGAAAATTCCCACTAGAGGAATAGCTGGTTTAAAGGGGATTTGCAGTTCACCTTTTCTAAGGAGTCTCCATACTGATTTCCATAATGGTTGCACCAGTCTACATTCACACCAGCAGTGAAGATGGGTTCCTTTTTCCCCACAGCCTCTCCAAAATTTGTTGTTGGGTGATTTCTTTATGATAGCCATCTTTCTGGGGTGACATGATATCTCAATGTGGTTTTAATTTGCATTTCAAGAATGGCTAGCAATGTGGAGCATTTTTTCATATATTTATTTGCTTCTTTAATTTCTTCCTCTTAGAAGTGTGTGTTCATCTCGGATGCCCATTTCTGGACTGGGTCTTTAAATTTTGGGGCCCTAGTGTTTTTTAGTTCTTTCTAGATTCTAGAGAGCAGACC